GTAACCATAACTTGACAAAATTGCATTCCAAGAGCCTGTCCTGCTAGCACGCAGCTAGGATCAGTTGCAATAACTTTTCCCTTGGCCACTGAGTTGAGCAGACTTCATGTTTGGGTAAAGTATAACTTCTCTGCCAATCTGAAGCAAATGATGGATGTATGAGAACTGTATCAACTAATAAAAACACCACTAACCTAGAAGCGAAAAATGGAGGATGAATGAGAACTTACATATTCGTCATGTGAGAAACGATTAGTATCACCATTCCTTGTATCGATGCCAAGACGAGGTTGCGGCTGCTGGGCATGAACATGGCTGGACTGACAATGAGAAGGTGGGTGGGATGAGGCTGCTCTCCTGGTGGATTGAGTGGGCTGCTGGGATGGGGCTGCTCTCATGGTGGATTGATGGGGCTGCTGGGATGGGGCCCTGTCTTATAACACATGCATATTAACTTTAACAAGAATAAACATTGCAAAATAGGGTGATCAGTTTGGAGGGGGGGGGGCCTGTCTTATAAGTAAACTTTCCATATTTCTCATGAGCTACACTCGGTTTTCAATTAAGCTATAGATTCTCTTGAACTATCCACATGAAGCAAAAAAATAGGAAAAAATAATCTTAAGCCACAGTAACTGAATGTAGAGTAAATGAAGATCAAACTAAACCACAGTCCATACTGATGATCAAACTAAAGCCACAGCCCACATTGAGTAAATTTAAAGGCAACTGCTATACTTCCTACAATAAATCTGGATGACACATTGAAGCTCTGCATGAACTATGTATTCATTTTTGTCATATGCCAAATCGACTAAGCAACATCCGGGATGCAGAGAGCACACTTAGTTTCTATGCCATGTGTACTTGTTGATTTGGCCAGTTAACAAATAAGCAACAACAAATGTGTCCACTATAATAAATAGAAGGCACAGTTAGTAGCGAAATAGAGATCCATATCACTACATGGAGAATCTTTACCAGAATCGAGAAAAGACAAGCAAAGCAACAATGGTAGCGAAGTGGTAGAGAGCACTTTACCGATACTCATGAGTCTAATCCACAGCTGGTTCCTAGTGCTTCTTGAGGCACGATGAGGTGCCTGTAGATGCTACGGCTTTTCTTAGGGCAGAGGTCCAAGGAGCACCTTCTTCTTGTACGCTTCAGCAACCACTTAATACAACATGCACAGATACATGATTTAGTTAGTAAGGAGGTGACGCTTGATCAAAGAAAGCAAAACACAAAGTGTAGAGGGACACCGTGGCTCCCTTACTTTGGATCCGGCCGCGGAGGGAGATAGGGGGGAGAGCCGGGCTGTGGCGCCGGTCTTGAAGAATGGAGGACCCGGAGGGGTGGGGATGGGGGTGCGGGTGCAGAGCAACTTGGAGGGGTGGGGCGCCGTATGTGGTGGTGGGGAGGGGGACCTAAGGTCACTGACGGGGGCGGAGGGAGGGGCGAGCTGAGTTCACCGGCTGTGCTGACCTAGAGACGGCGTCGAGCTGAGGTCGTCAGCGCGGAGTGGCCGAACTAAGGTCGCCGCCGTCGAGGGCGACCCAGGTCGCCATTGACTGAAAGCCACGGAGGAGGCTAGGGGGCCACCGGTGAGGCGGCCGGCCGACGACGCGCAGCGATTCTCGGGCGGCTCCGTGTGCAGGACCGGTGGTGGCAGCGTTTTTTTTTTCTTCGATTGGAGCCAATGGTGGCGGGGGTCTTCTTTGGGGTTTGGGGAAAGGGACCGTGGGTTCTTTGGGGTGGCGCCCGGGGAGACGGAAATGGGCTGATGTGGTGTTGCGCCTTGGCGGGCTGGAATGGCGGGCTCCAAAATTTTTCGATTGTGTGTGTCCACGTTAAAAAGTTAGGCGGGATCTACGGCGACGAGCGGTGGGTCGTTAAAAGTATGATATAACGACCGACCGTTCAACGTCGAAGTGAAATAGAATTAACGACCAACAGTCTGTAGCCAAAATGAGATATAACGACCGACAGTCCGTTAGTAATCTTTAACGTCTAACCTTCCGACGTTAAATCAACATTTTTAGCGACCCCCAAGTGACGTTAAATTTGGGTTGTGGTGTAGTGTTGTGAGTGGCGGCGGGGTGGGAGAAGTGGGTAGGGTTTTTTCCAAATCTACTAAACACACTGCACGTGGGCTACAGGCTGACAGGTGGGCTCCACTAAAATTTTAGCGCCAACTATGTGGGCTCCACTAATATTTAGGCACCAATCGGGCTGAATGTTGCCCAAATCAATATACCGACCGACCGGCGGACCAAAAAAACGAGATTCAGCCACCAACCATCTAACGGTAAACCCAAATAAAAATAGTGTCCGACCGTCGGACGACAAAACAAGATATAGCGTCCGACCGTAAGCCACTAAGTTATACCGTCCGACCGTCCAACGGCATTTCGACATTTTTACCGACCCTTGGTTGGACGCTAGTATGGGCTGTGGTATAGTGCACTGTGAATTTCAACAGTCTGGATCTTGCCCAGCACGATTTATCCATGCTGGACGTCTACTTCTCCGAGTTCGAGATCTGGGCGACCATCTCGGAGTTGCCGTCGGACAAAGCTCCGGGGCTGGATGGCTTCACTGGGCTGTTCTACAAAGTAGCCTGGCCGATCATCAAATAGGACGTCGTCAACGCTTTCAACGCGTTCTGGTCGCTGGACGGGCGCAGCTTCAATTTAATCAATGATGCCTTCATGATTCTCCTCAAAAAGAAGAATGAAGCCCAGGAGATCAGAGACTACCGACCGATCAGCCTTATGCACAGCTTTGGAAAGCTTATTGCCAAATGTCTTGCCCGTCGGCTTGATCTAGTGCTCAATGATCTGGTGCACCCCTGTCAGAGCGCGTTCATCCAGGGATGGTCCATACATGATAATTTTAGAGCCGTTCAACTGACCTGCAAGACCTTGCACCAGAAGAAGCAGAGTTGCCTCCTTCTTAAGATCGATATTGCGAAAGCCTTCGACTCCATTTGTTGGCCTTTCCTTTTGGAGGTCCTACAACGGCTCGCCTTCTTCGGCGGTGGAGGAACCGGATGTCTATCCTCCTTGGATCGGCAAGCACCAAAGTCCTCCTTAACGGCGAGACCGGGCAACCGCATTCGCCATGCCGAGGCTTGCGGCAAGGTGACCCCTTGTCCCCGATGTTGTTCGTCCCTAGCTATGGAGGTGCTTTGACGGACGCATCCGGTGGGCTGAGTCCATCCATCTTCTCACCTCTCCGGTGTGCCGCAGTGCGTTCACGGGTGTCGCTATATGCGGATGACGTCATCATGTTTATTAAGCCAGAGATGAACGACATCGTCGCCATCAAAACCATCCTGCAGATCTTCGGCGATGCGTCGGGTTTGTACACAAACTTGGGCAAGTGTGTCGCCAACCCGATTGCCTGTTCACAGGAGGAGCTTCAGCTGGTTGAAAACATGTTTGTCCCGCACAATCGGAGCCTTTCCATGCAAGTACTTGGGCATCCTCTCTCTACTCACAGCTGCGCCGGACGAGGAGCAATTCCTCATTGACACAAATCACGGCGCGTATTCCGCTCTGGAAAGGTCATCTCATGAACACTACGGGCAGGGTGGCGTTGACACAGGCGACGCTCTCGGCCATCCCAGTGCACCTCTCCATTGTCATGTGCCTGTCGCCATGGGCGGTCGACCGCATCGATAAGCTACGTCGATCGTTCATCTGGACTGGGTCGGCCACGGTGAGCGTGGGCAGGTGTCGCGTGGCGTGGGAGATGGTTTGCAGGCCCAAGGAGCTCGGTGGTCTCGGCATCATCGACTGCGAAGGTTCGGTCTTGCTCGAGATCGCCTTTGGGAGTGGGTGTGGAAGGCTGACCCGAACAGTAACTTGGATCGACCTTCCGTCACCATCGAGACAAAGCCACACGTGCCCTCTTTTCGCGCAGCAACCTTGATGGTTGTCGGAGACAGGACATCAACGCTGTTCGCAAGACTCACTGGATTCATGGGTGTTGTGTTGAACAAATTTCACCTGCAGTCTTTTGCCTCGGCCCCACGGGCAGGAAGGCGAGGTCAAGGTATGTGGCGTCGGTGCGGCTGATCACGTCTGTGTGTCCGGCATTCTTTGGGGTACAAACTGTTCAAGTCTTCCTCCGGTACTGGACCTCTGGGAGCGGGTTCGCGGTGCCCAGCTTGTGACGGGGGTTCCGGACTCCGTCATCTGGCGTTGGTCCGCTGACCACAAGTACTCCGCGGCGTCGGTGTATGGTGCGATGTTCATCGGATCGACCTCGCCATTCGGTGCTAAGTTGATTTGGGAGACGCGCGCACCACCCAAGGTCAGGTTCTTCTTCTGGTTGGCTCTGCATCGTCGTTGCTGGACCGCGAATCGGCGGATGCGTCATGGGCTGCAGGACAGTGATGCTTGCATCATGTGTCTTCAAGCCTCCGAAACTCTGGATCATATCCTGCTGGGTTGTGTCCTCAGTCGTCAGGTTTGGAATATGCTCCTGTCCAAGCTTGGGCTCACAGCCGTGGCCGCTCACGGTGACGTCGACCCCTTCCTCTGGTGGGCCTGGGCTAGGCGTAGGGTGCCCCGGGGCAGCAGGAAGGGCTTTGATTCGCTCCTCATGCTAACCTGCTGGGTGCTTTGGAAGCAACGCAACGCACGGACGTTCAGGAATGAAGCCAAGGACGCTCGCGAGCTGTGTTTGGAGATCCTACAGGAGGCCTCCATGTGGTTGCGGGCCGGGTATTCGACCCTGTCGTCGCTCGCTTCGTTCATGTAATTAATCTCTTGTGTGGTCGCTGCCGGCTTCCTCTGGTTTTTCATTTGCCGCTCTGTTTTATGTTTGTGCAGCTCGACGGGGAACCTTTGGTTACCTAAGGTCGACGCTGCCGTTGTTTGTTGGATGTTTTTTTTTTGCTCTTAATGAAATATGTGCTGCAGTGCACGTTCGAGAAAAAAGTAGGTGCATGGCATGCGTTAAAAAAGAGGATACAAATAAATGTCACATATTTAAATTTCACTTGTGAAGTTCTTATTCTCCCATGCATGGCTGTGTACCTTTGTAGCCAACCGAAGAAGTAGCAAATAGTATCTATAGGTGTGCTTGTACATATATTTATACACCCCTGTAATACTGATGGTGATGGAAGCAACTCGCTATATATCTATCAGGTATCAGCTGCTGTTGACCACCCTACAGTTTGCCCTGATCTGGCCAGCGGTTCCGGTGAGCGGGCTGATGTTGCCCATCTTTATCATGGCGGCGGCGAAGTCTGAGGCGAAGAGGGCCGGGTTGGAGCTGTACTGCCGCACCAGCGCGTCCTGGGAGCCGCCGTTGAAGAGCTCCTGGTCCGAGTGCAGCAGGCCGCGCTTGACCAGCAGGTTGCGGTAGTAGGCGTTGTCGAAGGCGAGCTGCGTCTGCACGTCGAGCGGCGCCAGGTTGGTGTCGCCGGTGCCCGGCGCGGCGGGGCAGTTGCGCTGGCGCAGGGTGGCGAACGCCGCGTCGATGTCGGTGTCGTTGTAGATGTGGCCGCGGAAGTTCTGGCACTGCGAGAAGCCGATGGTGTGCGCGCCGGACAGCGCCGTCAGGTCCCCCGGGCTCAGGCCCTTGTTGCCGAACGCCGAGACGAGGGTGGCGAGGTCAGAGGCTGGCGACGGGAGGTCGCTGTTGGCCAGGGTCAGGCTCGCCGTTGTCGAGTCGCGACGGCCGAGCGGCACCGCCCAACTTGGTCCTCCGAGCTGTGATGATCCAGATCAGTAGTGATGGAGTTATTAATTAGATTCATCTGTCTGCGTATGTACTCCGTGGTATGCTTAATATACCACGGAGGCACGGAATATATTAGTAAGAGACATGTACCAAGAATGTGCCGTCTCGAGCGGCGAGGGCGACGATGTCGGCGCAGGAGACAACGCCGGGGCAGAGGAGCTCGACGTTGGCCTTGATCTGGTCGATGACCTCGAAGCCGCGGACGGAGTTGACGTTGGGGCCGGCGCCCTTCTCGCCGACGAAGCTGCCAACATCGTCCAGAAGAATGGAGCCGTCGCAGCCCTGCAGGTAATAACAAATTAACTCCACTTCAGCACGCAGGGTTTTGGCATAAGTACGTAGCGTAGTAGTACAATCCATATGAACGCCACGTAACATACTTGGACAAAGCAGTCGTGGAAGAAGAGCCTGACGAGGGACGCGCCCATCCGACGCTCGGCGAGGAGGGCCTTGAGCATGGTGGCCCGCACGATGAGCCCCAGCGTCGGGCAGGTCGTCGCGTAGAAGGACGGCGAGAGCTGCCCGTGCGCCGCCGAAGCGAGCAGGAGGAACAAGCTGCAGCTGGCGAGCAAGCAGTGCCACGTCCGGAACGAAGCCATGGCTAACTGGCTGGCTAACTCGATCAGATCAGGCTAGCTAATCAAATTATCTTCAGGTACGTACGGTGATCTTCAGTTCTCTGACAAATCACCAGATCGACAATAGCTAGCTTGCTTAGCTGGTGGGGAGTGACACGACGCGAGCTGCCTATTTATAGTGGCGTTGGCAGTTTCATGCATGCAAAAGCGTAGCCCTCCGATATGATCCACGCCGCAACTGGAGTCAAATTAAGTTAGGCCGCTGGAGGCTGGCAGCTGGCTGTGGAAAATTGGGAGGGAGTTCTTCGGCCTTTCTCTCGTGGTCGACAAAAGTGGGAGGCTTGTAGTGTCGTTTGTACATTCCTTTCTCCTCGATCAGTGTGCTCGCGAACAAAGAACATGTCATGCTGGCACATAATTTTAGTTGAAGTGTAGCTTGTCGTTACGGGTAGAGATCGCAGTCAGACAGCTGTTTTGAGTTAAGTTTGACGCGCGTCTCGCTCGTCACGTCACTGCAGGCATACAGGAGAGAAAGGCATGCCTGCTCTGTGTGTGTGTGTGTGCGCGCGCGCGCGCGTGTGTGTGTGAACTAGTTTTTAATGTTAGTTTACCAGTGAGCATGCATGGAGCTTTCGTATTTGTTCTACTATTTATATTTAATTTGATGGTGACACACGAGAGGGATATAGTATATATAAAGGATGTGTAATGTAACATTTATATATGTGTGTACTTATATTAGGTGTGTAATCAAGTCATGATAGCATCGAATTGAAGCAAATAAAGCGAGTGAAGCTGATTAATTAATCACTGATTTGAAGTGGTGTAAGTACATAACTGAAAGTGGCTCTGCATGCATACTGATTATTCTCAGCCGACAGTTTTTGAGGCAGACACCGTCGGAAGGGGATTGGATATATAACTCCACACATTTCCTATCCTACAGGTGCCTGAAAGTGAAGATGAACTAACAGCAATAGAGAAGGTGTTCGGTCCTAAGGATGAGGATGATTAGTGATCATTGAATTTAGATTAGACGGATCACGTTCGTCGCCTGATGAACAGAAAGCAAAAGTCAGGCGCCTGTGATTTAGCAACTCTCATAACTCCAAGTGAAAAATCTGATATCCAAGAATTTTTTTTTTTTTTGTCCAATCTTGTGGTCGTTGCCAGGTTATATCCTTGTATTGAATGTTGGAGCAAGGAGATAATGTAATTAATATATCTGTCGAATATCTGATATATATCCATGAGTAAAATCAGATATAGTTCAGGTATCGATATCGTATTCAGAATATATTATTATATCCAACAGTCCTAGCATGCAGCCTCTCAAGACTAATTTATGTGGATATATAGTCTACTTCATGCATTAATTTGCTTTTTAGATAACGCAATGCAGGTGTGTGCAGCTGGATTTAGAACTTCTGGGTGGTTCAATGATCAGGACAGGACATATACGAGATACGTGGGGTGTTCTTTTGTACTCAGTAATGTATATTATTATATATATACACAAAGAGATGTGACCAATGTTGTGCGTGGCCGACTTGTCACGTAGTATATTCAATTCGATCCCGTATTTGAGGTGATAGAGTACGAAGAAGAAGAAATGGCCTAGTCTTAGAAGAATTAGTAGTGCTATATCCATACTTTATTATTCACCCTCAGTAGTTTTCACCCTAGCTTGAATTGAGCCCTGTTAATTAGTGGATCGGAGTACGTAGTGAATCATCACGGGGAACTAAATTATTAAATACGAATCCACTGGGTTACTCGCTAACATTTGCATATAATAATCAAAGCATATTGATATATATCGTGCCCTCATGACCTTGACGTGATTGCCGGACACCCGAAAATCAGTACGATCGCAGCCAAATCGATCAGCCAAACCCTAGTAGAAATTTCAGACGACGACGCTCTGGGGAAGGACGACGAGATGGATGCATGATGAACGATGGATCTTTTTTTTTTAATGATGAACTGCATGCATGCAATCCGTGAGACGGCGGGAAAATGAGCCAAGCCCATGGCCCCCCATTGTGTACCGTAAGTAGTCTGAACCCTGAATACCATCGAGAGGCCTAACAATGGAACTGGATGGATAATGTACAGGAGTCAACGTACTGCGTCCCGGTCACGCTGGCAGCCTGGTACAGTGTAGCCCCAAGCACTCCACTTGGCAACTGGCATCTACTAGCTGCGGAGTCAGAGATGCAGCTGCTGTACACACGTACTCCGTACTTGCAGTGTGGGAGGTCCCAGTCCCAGCCGTCTGCATGTGCAGGGGTCGACGTCATGCCCTGCGAGCACTATTCTACGTTTCTCCAACCCGGTCGTCTCGTAACGAACGACGGGATATAACGCGGGTAGGCAGGCAGTCGTGTTTAGTTTGATGTCGTACTTCGTCTCTTTCCGGGCTACGAGCACTGAGTGCAGTAGTTGACTGTTGCGTCCACGGAGGTGGCTCTCGTTCCAGCTTGAGAGCCTTGAGAACATGTCCGATAATTAGCGCTGAAAGTTGATGCTCAGTTATCTGTTTTGTCTGAATTTATATCTGATCAAAACTTGAATATAAATATAGGTATTCGTGTCTTTTTTATATGGACACTAAACCCGATGTGTCCAAATCTATTTTTTTCACAACTTTTTTTTTCTGTCCATCCGTATTTAAAATAATCACGGAATACCGTATTGTTATCCGCATCTGTGAGAATATGGACACAGTAAAATTATTTAAAAGTTATTTTATGAGGACTAATGATATTAGCTAGTTTTAGAGTTTCTAGTGATGTATCCATTGAAACCATTTAAAAGCTATCCATATGGCAAATGATTAATAATGACTGATAATATAAAAATATTATTCAAAAGGAAATATTAACTTAAATTTAATATTGTTGTGATTTAGTTTAAATCTTATATATTTGTTGCTATAAATGAGTTTTTATATACGATTGTATTGATTTATTTATAGATTTTTTACTTCCATATATTTGATGTGCTAAATGCGCGGTTATAAATAGCCGCTATAGATTTTTCATATGGTCTACTACTACGATATTGCAAATTGTTTTGACTGTTACAACTAACGATGCTTTAGCTCTGCTAATACCACTTTTTGGCTTAGCCGTGAAATATTTTTGGCACCACTAATCTTGACTGATGTAGATGTTCGTTCTTAGTCTAAAAGACCATAATCTATGTCACTCTGTTAGATTATTTACTTAATAAATGATGTAATAAACCAATGGATAATTATTAAGCCATTGGTCATTGAATATTTATAATGAATAGGAATGTTGATTGATATGTGGTGAATGTCAAGTAATGGATGTGGAGGCATGTTCTACTAGAGCATGTACATGTATTTGAGTATTCGTATGCACATAGTTTTGCTTATTTAAATGTTTCTATGCATAATCAATTAAGGATTTTCATGTTTTCTATGAAGCCGTTAAATGAAATAGCTCCTACTATATCCCACTATAGTTTTCTATAACTTTTGAAGGAAGCTACTGCTAAATGTCTTGTCCCGCGATTTAAAACATTGGCTACATGTATTATATACTCTTACTTTAGTATCTAATTACATAATGATATTGTTCTTCCAAAACCATCGATAAAAGGATATATACTTCATATTAACTAAATCAAGTAGATATCTCTGAATGCGAATTCGAATCCAGACTATTCATATCTGGCAAAAACATTGATATCCAACTAATAGATATCCGAAATATATCCTTATCCATTCTATTTCCACCCCTACCGATAAAGCCTCAAGAAACATATTTTTGCATCCAATCACTAGTAGAGAACAGACCTTTGATCCTCGGCCAAAATGGGCTCTAGTCTCGGAATTTTTTGCGCCCGGGACTAGAAATACCTTTAGTCCCGGTTGGTGTCTCCAACCGGGACTAAAGGTCCCTGCCCCAACGGCTACTGCGCCAGACAGAGGTGGTAGGGACCTTTAGTCCCGGTTGGAGCCACCAACCGGGACTAAAGGTATACTTTACTCCCGGTTGGTGGCTCCAACATGAGTAAAGGTCTACTCGGCCGTGGCTGCGCCGGGGTTGAAAGTTACTTTTAGTCCCGGTTGGAGCCACCAACGGGACTAAAGGTCCCCCTTTATATCCCGGCCGTCTCCTTCTTCCTTCCCGAGCCCGAGCTCAAGACATTTTGAAGCTCATTGCACTAGTGTTCTTGCTTCCTCCCTCCCTCCATTGTTCCTCCATCCATTATTCGATTCCTCCGTCGATTTCTTCGATTCCTCCGTCGATTCTTCAGTTGTAAAGGTTACCAATCTCATACTCTCATTTTTCACCATTGTCTTATCTCATTTTGTTCACTATATATATATATATGGTTCTTTATTGTGGTTTTTTCATTTGTAAGCAATTTGAACTCAAAATCAATTCAAGCTTGCATATTTACATGAAATAAGGTCAAAGTAGCTAGTTGAACTTGCGGACCGTGTTCATCTCGGCGAGCACGTTCTCTGCCGAGCGGTAACGGACGTCAAGGAGGAGCTTTGATTCTACGAGAGAGAGCGACAACGGTCGTGGAAGACCGTGTTCCCTTCTTCGTAGAATTGGAGCTCTTCCGTGGCCAATTACGGTGTCGTCCGGTGGAGAAATGCTCGCCGAGATGATCACGTAAGCAAGGTCAACTAGTACGGATGGTTATTTATTCACATGTCCTGATATCGTCGCAGTAGTCTGTCAATCACCGTACCTAAACGTAGTATATATATAAATATAAACTTAGAAAATAGTTAGAAAATTATAGAAAATCCATACTAATTGAACTTGCGGACCGTGTTCATCTCGAAGAGCACGTTCTCTGCCGAGCGGTAACGGACGTCAAGGAGGAGCTTTGATTCTACGAGGGAGAGCGACAACGGTCGTGGAAGACCGTGTTCCCTTCCTCGTAGAATTGGAGCTCTTCCGTGGCCAAGTACGGTGCCGTCCGGTGGAGAAATGCTCGCCGAGATGATCACGTAAGCAAGGTCAACT